CTCGTCGATTCTACTGACTGGCCCGCGCACAGGGCGCAAGCGCGGCGCCTCGCCAAAGGCAGGCGCGGTTTTGTCAAGTGGGCCTAGGAGCAATGGTCGCCGCGTCCAGTTCGCCTCTGCGCTTCTGTCATAAAGCCAAAGACCCCGCGCCCAGGGCCCCTTCGTGGCGGGGGGTCGATTGCAGACCCAAAAGAGAGCCCCATGGCCCAGGCCGCCACGTGGATGTCATCCTGGGCGGGTAGCATGGATCAGCCCACCGATATTCCATCGGCCCTGCGCGCACTGCACCGACGCGCCTTGGAAGTGGACGCGCCGCCGGACTGGATGGATGGACTGCGCCCCGAACTGCCGCTCAAGGGGGGCGGCATCGATTCCACGACGCTGGGGGAACTGCCGCGGTCACCTCCAGCTGGGCGCGCAGGCTTCTTGGAATCGCTCGGAGAGGCGAAGCGCCGCGGAGACTGGCCCGTGAATTTGTTCGCCGCTCCACGTGAGTTTCTGCCAAGTACTAAACGCTGGCAGTAGTGCCCTGAGGCCAGGCCAGGCCTCATCAGATCGGCGATGGATGAAGGCGCGCACCTCCCCGGAGCGTCAGCGGCTGCGGTCGCGCTCGATTTCGAGAAGTTGCGCGATTATGTTTGTTGGGTCTTGTCGCGCAGAGCAGCAGTGGAAGCATGGCGCCCGTCTATCGCCGCGCGTTTGGAGGTTCAGCTTTGCGCCGCTCCTCGATTCTTGCGCAGTGCGATGGGCGCGTCGGACGCCGGCCATGAGGCCGGGGCCTCGGTGGCGGGCCCCCCGCGATGGGCGCGCTCATCAACGGCGCTGTTGCACCCGCTGCTGCAAGTGGCACGGGCGCGCGCGGACGTCGTCGCACTTGAGATTTCCATTGGCGGCACCGCCCTGCGCGCGGAGGGCGCCGAGAAGAAAGTGAAGCAGGGTGTTGCGCCTGCCCGCAACGCGTCCAAGGAAGGCCCAGGCGCTGAACGTCTGGCGGTGTCCGGCAAGATCGCGGCCATCGCCGCGCCTTTCAAGGTGGGCCGCAGATTTATAGCCCGCACCCGGAGAGCTTTGATTTCAGTTCGATCGCGCCTTGCGTCTCATGACCTCGGCGCGCATGCGCCGCCCGAAAGGAGGAGGGCCGCGCGCGAATCAAAGGCCGGACTTGCCGCGGCCACTGGGCGCACCTGCAGGATGCGCATGCCCAGGAGACATTCTAAGTTCAGGTGGGTCGCGCAGAGTTCGCGGTCGACCGGCGCCCGTCCCCAAGCAGCTCACGGCCATCAGGTGCCTGGTCTGGCACCGCTGCAGCTTCGCAGATCCAGGCGTGGTGCGGCGAATTCAGGTGCAGGGGCGCTCAACGGGCGGCGCGTCACCGCGACCTTGTCTATGTTGTTTGGAAAGAAGGACACGGTTTTGGAAGTCAGGCGTCAGTTCGCTCCAGAATATTCGACCACGCCGCAGCAGTGGCCTCAATATGCGCAGTCGAATCGAGAGAGCGCGGTAGAGTATTCTGTATGTTGTCGGGTGCGGGTGCGTCCAGGAGATGCAGTTTCGTCAAGGGCCTTATGATTCCGGTCATTTCTACGCTGTTGGATGCAGGATGGCCCCCGTGTTTGGCAAACGTGTGAAGGTGGACTACCCCATCGCAGGCTTGCGACTGGACGATCCCCACCTCCACGTCGCCAGGCTTTGACGGTCATGAGATGGACTGGGGAGAGGTACTACATGATGTGATGACGGATTCTGAGGTCCATGACTGGGGCCAAAAATCGCTGCAATTGGAATGCGAGAGTCTCGAGCATGGTACTGGTATGTATTGTGTACTTATTGTGCGAGGCGCGAGTGCAATCGATGCGTGCGCGATGGGGCAGACGCCGCCGTTTGTCAGTTTCTGTGAGTCAGTGCTGGAGCTCGATGGTCTCGCGCGCGTTCGTCAATCTGGTTCGGAAGCTGAGCGTTTCTGTCCGCGCTATAGAGGCGCGCCAGGGACTTTGCTTCACAGGATGTGGGAGTGCCCTGTCAAGAAGGACCAACAGGACCATGAGAAGTCTGATCGGCTGACCCCGCAGGCGTCAGCAGGCGCTGAATCTTAACCCGCTCCACGGCTTCGCGGCCCCCCCCCCCGACCGCGCCCGCTCTGCTTTGGGGGGTCTTTGAAAGTCCAAGAAGACGCGGAGAAGAGCCCAAGGAGATCCCCAGAGCGCCCCAAGAGGGCCCGAAAACGTACGAAAAGGGCCCCCACATATGTCGAAAACGGCGGAGGAAACCAAAGAGGGATACAGAGAGACAGAAAGGAGCATCGCCATATACTTATGGGGTTTCAGAAGGGTTTCCTGCCCCCTGGGCGCGCCCAAGACCGCACGCGACAACGCCAAAAAGGAGTCCAGACGGGCGTGGATGGCCCCAAGAGGCCGTCAGGGCGGCCGCAGAGAGCATCCGCAGGTTCCAAGATGGCCGCAAGAGGCCGCGGAGATGCACGGGAACTCCAAAAGAGGCGCCAGGAACAACCCGATAAACTCACGATCGTCATAACCCATGTGGTTTACAATGTTTTTTGCTTGTTGGGGGTTTCTGGTGTATGAGACTCGAAGAGAGGTGGAGGGGCAACCTGGACGGCCGTTGGTGGCCCGAAGGGCGGTCAAGATCAGCCCAGAACGAGCCCCGGAAGGCCCCCCAAAACCGGCCCAATAGGCTCCTGGAGAGGTGTGTGAGAGGACTCGTGGCGCTCGGAAGCCGAGCACGTGAAAGAGACTGAGGGGAAATAGTTTGTGCAGACCATGCGGCGGGGATCTCACGCGCCGTACCTGGTGGGGCGGCGGATCGCTTCTGCAGGGCAGGCAGGACTGTCCTCGAGGCGATTTTTGGAGATGTGGTTCGCACCCTGTCGAAGAGATCCTATCGACTGCCTCGGAGGGCGTCAAGATGGCCCAAGAGAGCTCCAGCATAGTTTCGAGACGTATCTGGGTTGTGGGTCAGAGTCCTTATGAATGCTTTATGGGTTCTCGTCATACGGTTCTTGGGAGCCTTTGGAAAGCAGTTTGCCTTTGGGGAGCCTCTTGGAGGCTTCTTGGGGCCCTCTTGGGGCTTCCTGGGGGCATCTTGGGGGTTTTGAGAGCCTCTTTTGGGGCCGCTTGGGGGCCTGTTGGGACCTCCTGCGGTGGTTTGGGGGGGCGATGGGGGCTTCCTAGGCGCCGCTTTGGGTCGAGAGCCCGAAATCTCTGTTGGGGCTCCTCTGGGCCCCCTCTTGGGGACATCCTGGGGCAGTCTTGGAAGCCCCTTGGGCCGCCTAAGGGTTATCTCAGGCCATTTGGGAGCCCTCTTGGAGGCTTTTTGCACCGTTTTGGAAAGATCGTTGGGCCTCTTGGGCCGTCCAGGGCGGTCGGCAGCTCGAAAAGGTAGTACCGCTAAAGTGCCCGAAATCAAAAAAACAGCATTAATGATTTGCGCGTGTTCGGGGCCTCTCGAAGTCCTTTTGGAACCATACTGGAGCGTCTTGGGCGCTCCTTGGGCCGTCTTGGGACCGACGTGGGCCATCCTGGAGCGCCCTTGGTCTGAGGCCGTGGGGCTTGCCACTTTTTGTCTGAGGCCAGGCATGGGGGTTCGGTCTTTCCCTTTCGCTCCTTATGGTATTATATTGCGAAGGCCTTACGGCCGGTGCCGCCGACCCTGCATGGCGACGACGACGACGACGACGAGCGCTCTTGGGGGCCTCTTGGGGGTAGTTTGTGTGCCTCTTGGGAAGCTCTTAGGGGCCGCTTGGAAGCCTCGTGGGGGCCTCTTGGGGCTTCCTGGGGTCTCTTGGAGGGGGCCTGGGACGTCTTGGAGGCTTCTTGGACGGTCTTGGGGCTATCTTGGGCGTTTCGCTCCTTATGGTATTATATGTCGGTCCTCCTGCCTTTTTCTTTTCCCCCCCTCATCCCTCCCCGCCTCCATCCCAGCTCCCCTCCTCGCCCGCTCGCGCCTCCTGTCCCCCCTCTCCTCCCTCCCAGCCCCCTTCCCAGTTCCTCTCGCTCGCTCGCCCGCGTGCGTGATGCAGCTGCTGGGCGGCCCCGTCCAAGTCTTCCAGCTCACGCCGTGTCCGATTGGTGGCTGTCCGCACGAGCGCGGCTGGAATTCCCATCCTTGACCGCGCTTCTCTCTGCTCTGGCACTGGCGATGGCGCCATCTCCGCATTGCTGCTTCGTTTGATGATGCGGTTGGTCACCTTCTGGCCCCTGTCGCTCATGAGATTAACTGGTGCATCATGTTCATTTCCGTGCAGGTGTGTGGTGGTCGCCAGTGCCCGAAATTTGAAGTTTCCGTGCCCGCCCACCACGAGCCCTCCCGAGCTGGTCTTTCCGCGGCAGCTCTGGAGTGGAGAACCGCGCCGCGAGGACTTTTGTGGGTGGCCCATAATCAGGGCGAGAGAACGGCGGAGACTGACGACGAGAAGGGGGAGGCGAAAGGAGGAGGGACGAGAAGGACGAGGACGAAGACGAGGAGAAGAAGAGGAGGAGGGCAAGGAGGAGAAGAGGAGGAGGGCGAGGAGGAGGAGGAGGACGAGGCCGAGGAGGACAAAGAGGAGGAGGAGGGCGAGGAGGAGGATCACCGCGAGGAGGAGATGGAGGAGGCCTCCGGACGCCCCTGCAGGGCTTTTTGGAGACCTCGTCAGGTGAACCCCGCGGAGGCCCCCCCGATCTCTCCACCAGCCTCCAGAGGAGTTCCCGCGCAGGCCCTTGGGAGGCCCACAGGCGGCGCCGAGCACGCCTCGATCGACGACGAATACGACGGCGGTGATGACGACGGCGGTGATGACGACGACGGTGGCGATCACGACGACGTTGACGACGACGAGGACGACGACGACGAGAAAGACGACGACAAAGACGACGACAAAGACGACGACAAAGACGACGGCAAAGACGACGACAAAGACGACGACCACGACGACGACGACGACAACGACGGCGACGACGACGACGGCGGCGGCGACGACGGCGACGACGACGGCGCCCGGCCAGCACATCGTCGGGGAGCTGGATGGTCCGGCGGCACCCGCCCCCCGGCGCACGGGCTCGGAGGAGGACCCGCAGCGGTGGGGGGAGCACGACCGGTGGATGGCCGGCACGCGCGGCAGGAGCCCACCCTCCTCCTCCTCCTTCCCCTCCTCCTCTTCCTCCTCCTCCTCCTCGACCTCCTCCTCCCTCTCCCCTCTTCTCCTCCTCCTCCTCCTCCTCCTCCTCCTCCTCCTCCTCCTCCTCCTCCTCCTCCTCCTCCTCCTCCTCCCTCTCCCCTCTTCTCCTCCTCCTCCTCCTCCTCCTCCTCCTCCTCCTCCTCCCCTCCTCCTCCTCCTCCTCCTCCTCCTCCCTCCTCCTCCTCCTCCTCCTCCTCCTCCTCCTCCTCCTCCTCCTCCTCCTCCTCCTCCAGGCGCCCGGGGCGTTCGGGTCGTTCCCAGACCCCCTCGAGTAGTGAAAAAATCACGACCGGAGGTTTTTTCCAAGTTTCGGCCCCTGGGGGTCCTTCCCGGGCCTCGGGACCGTCAAAAAACGACTCAGGATGAAAAACCGGTCCCGGGGAATGGGTCGAGACCTCGGGGGGTCGCCGTCATGAAAATATCATGACGTCGGGGGTCTGAGTCGTTCGCGGGCGTGGCCCCGGAGATCCGGCGCTCCAGCACAAAGATACTGCAGCGTTAGCGGCCTCTGGGGGCCCTCGCCGGGCCTCCGGGGGGCGTCAAAGATCGGGGGTCCCCAAACGGGGTGGTGACCACACCGTGCGGTGAGTCGGCGGGGATTCGGGGTCACCGCACGGTTTTGGGACTCGGGTCGTTCTCAGAGGACGTCTCCGGCGACTGGGGCATCCGAGGTCCCAACACCGTGCGGTGACGGACCTTGCGGTGAGGTCTCTTGGAGTTCCGAGGCCACCGCACGGTCTGTCACCGCACCGCTTCGGGACTCCACACAAGAGAGCGGCCCAGGACGCAAAGCCGGCCCTACACAGAGGGAGTTGTGGTGTGGACCTCCGGGGGCGCCCTGCAGGCCTGGGCGAAATAGAAAGAAGCGGAGCAGCCGGACGTGTGGGGCCCGTGGGCCTCTCCCAGGAGGCCACGGGTATAGCCCTGGAGGAGCGAGGTCCTCGGGGAGGCCCCCATGGTTCTGCATGGGGGGCCGCTCCTCTCGGGCCCCCCCGTATTTCTCTCCGTGCCGAGGCGAGGGTCGAGCTCCTGTGCCGGCGTTCTCGGCTCGCTTCGGGCCTCCGGGGGCTTCCGGGGGCTCCGAGAGACTTCTCGAGACTTCTGGGTTCTGGGGTGCTCCAGATCGAAGGAGTCGTCGCCGTCCTCGTCGTCCTCCTCCTCCTCGTCCTTACCCCCGCGCGAGCTCCCGCGCGCGCACGAGGGGCCGAGAGAGAGAGAGAGAAAGAAAAACTAAAAAACAACAACAAAAGGGATAGAGCGAGAGAGAGAGAGAGAGAGAGAAAGAGAGAGAGAGAGAGAGAAAGGAAGAAAGACGGTGATCGGCATGCACGCGTGCATGGGTCCCGTATCGCCCCCTGGCCGGCTGGATCTTTTGGCCCTGGGAGTTCACGCTCAGCATCGGCGCCGGCAGATTCGTAGTATAGAATTGGCCGCATTGGGCCTAGTCCCTTGCAGTTCTTCCGAGTCCTGCTTAAGCCCAGCTGATCTGACTGAATCACCTGTTTCGTCCGGCCCCACGGCCCCTCTGTCGGGCTTCGTCGTCCTCAACCGTTCCTGCGAAGACCTTCCAGGAGTTGCCCCCCAAGTGCGGTTGTGGAGCGCTGAGGCTGGCACGCAGCACGTGCGTACAGACATCTCTCGGCGGGCCGAGACGCGGCTGGGCGCACGGCGGGACCCAGGCATCAGGCTGCTCGGCTGCTCACACGTCTTCCTCCTCCTCCTCCTCCTCCTCCTCCTCCTCCTCCTCCTCCTCCTCCTCCTCCTCCTCCTCCTCCTCCTCCTCCCCCTCCCCTCCCCTCCCCCCCTCCCCTCCCCTCCCCCTCCCCCTCCCCTCCCCCTCCTCCTCCTCCTCCTCCTCCTCCTCCTCCTCCTGCCGTTCTTTAACGCTCCCGAGGCCCGGCGAGGGCCCACCAGAGGCCGAAGACGGCCAAACACCGCCCGCTCCAATGTGTGTTGGAGCGTCGGACCTCTCAGGTTAATTCAGTCGCGCATGTTCCTCTACAGGAGGAACACTCGAGAATGTTAAAAAATAATACGGGACCGATTTACCATGCTCTTTTGACAATGTGTGAGCATGTTCCATGTTTCTTGGATATTGCCGAGAGCGTTCCACTACTCCCGTAGTGCCTACTCGCAAACGCCCGAAAAACACATGTCTGCTTCGATGTTGTTTATCGTATAGATCCCCCGCCGCGGTCCCATGCCATTTGCGAGTAGTTATTTTGCGAGTAGTGGAGCGCGCTCGTCTAGGATAATCCGCCTGTAGGAGGACATGCCCGACCTAACCCTGGGGACAGGCACCTGGCCCACGCGCGGGCCTTCCTGCTCGCGTCGGTGGTGCTGTCGCGCGCGCTGGACGCCGAGCGGCAGGCCTTCCTGCACGGGCCGGGGGGAGCCGGGTCGGACGACCAGGGGGAGTGGATGCAGTGGGAAGGAGGAGCAATTTTGCAAGGTTGCTCTTCGGCATTGCCCTCGCCGTTGTCCTCCTCCTCCTCCTGCTCTTGCTCCTCCTCCTCCTCCTCCTCCTCCTCCTGCGCCTCCTTACAGTCAACAGAGTCGTAGCAATGATGAGCAACTTTGCAAGGGTACCCCTGCGTCCTTGCCCATTCGGCCAATCCTTGCCCGCGTTCGCTGGCCGCGCCCCGCCCGCAAGGTGTCGACATGGCCTTCCAAGAGCGTGTTTCTTTATTGCTTGGGCCATAACGCACGTTATGGCCCCCCCGCCGCCTCCCCCCTTATAACGGACCGCTCCAGCCCCCAGTGCCGGGGGCACAAAGGGGCACGAAAACGACGACGACGAGGATGGAGGAAGGAGGTAAGGAGCGACGCCTTCGCAGGCATGCGCTCACCAGAATTCCTCGTTGCTCTTCGTTGTCGGTCGTCGTCGTCTTCGTCGTCGTCATCGTCGTCGTCGTTGTCATCGTCGTCGTCAGCGTCGTCGTCGTCGTCGTCTTCGCCGCCGCCGCTGCCGTCGTCGTCGTCGTCGTCGTTGTCGTCGTCGTCATCTTGGTCGTCGTCGTCGTTGTCGTCGGTCGTCATCGCTCGCAGTCGCTCGTCGTTGGCAAACGCCTTCGGACGCTTTCGAGGGCCTCTGGAGGCCTTCGGATGACCTCCGGAAGGCCTCTGGAGTTTTCCAAAGGCTTCAGGAGGCCTCCGGCGGCCTCGGGAAACCTCCGAAGACCCTCGGACGCATCGCTCGTCGTCGCCGTCGCCGTCGTCGTCGTCGTCGTCGTTATCGTCGTCGTCGTTCTCGTCGGCGTTGTCGCCGTGGTCTTCGTCGTCGTCGTCGTCGTCGCTCGTCGTCGGCGTCGAGGTCGTCGTCGTCTCTCGTCGTCGTCGTCGTCGTTGTCGTTGTCGTTGTCGTTGTCGTCGTCGTGGTCTCGTGTCGTCGTAATCACCACCGTCGTTGTCGTTGTCGTCGCGGTCGCTCGTCGTCGTCGTCGCTCGTCGCTCGTCGCTCGTCGTCGTCGTGCGCGCGGACGCTGTGGTGGCGCCGGAACCGCCCGGCGGGGGGGTGGCGTTACGTTACACCCTTCCCATATGCCCGTTATCGCCGCGAATAAAGAAACGCGCTCCAAGGCCCTTGCATCCTTACCGCGCATCCTTACTACACGGGTTGATTTTAGGCTCAGGGGGGAACGCATCGACCCCTAGTCGCCCACTGTGATCGCCTCCAGGGGCCCGATAGCCCACCCTCTTAGCTGCCCTGGCACGCCCGGTTTGAAGCGCAGCGCGTGCCGTGTTCAAGACGTCCGCGTTAACACGCCGCGTGCTGGCTGGGCACGTGTTGGCCCACGTTTGGGCGAACGTATTGCGCTAGACCTACGTTTTCAGTCTACGTGTTGAGCTACGCGTCAGCACATTACGGTGTTGCGTGTTGCGCGTGGGGGCCGTCAAGCCCACCCTGCCCGGTGCCCGTGCGGACTCGCTATCGGGAGCATATCGCCGCCCTGTCGAAGATGTATCACCGATTCCGTGCTTTGTTTTTTCCTCTCCCTGAGCCAGTTCCCATTACAGTGGAGGGACGCGAGTAGTGGACACTCCCCTTCTCCCCAAATTCAAAATTGGCATGCGCGGGGAAGACTGCGGTCGAAGTGCAACTCATTCAACCTACCGCCAACATTGACATTGTGGGGGGCATTGACAGATGAATGTGGCATGAGTGTTTGCTAATTTTTTCCGAGGACTGTATCGTTCCCCCTCAGATAGGCGAAAAGGGGATGCAACATCTGCTGCTTGCAGCTGGTTTCGGCCCCGCAGCCGTTTGTTTTCTTCGATACTTGCGCCCGGAGGAGCCGTTAAAATCGGCCGTGTGAGCTGATGGGCTAATCGCCCATTGCTACCCCCCTCGCATCCGACCCGATTTGAGGAGGAGGAGGAGAGAATTAGAACGTTCGAGGTTCGGAGATGAGACGAGTTTCATCGACTGCAAGTGGGGAAGTCGCGCAAGATTCGTCCTGTCGTTCATTCGCCGCATGGCCGTAGTGGGTTTCCCGTCGGTCGTCGCTGCTACGACTTGACTCGTGAGGTCCTGGGTCTCTCGTCGTTTTTCCCCTAGGCGTGAGTTGGACGTGTAGCAACCGCTGTAGAGCAAAACAGATAACATTAACATAATTGTTTCGGATGCCCACGCGGATTTCTTGGATCTGCCCTGGACCCTCCCTTTTGTCGCGCTGAGCGCGCCATGGTTGGCGCTGGAGGCTCGCCACGTTGGAGGGCCCAAGAAATCCAAGAAACCCGTGCCGAGCGCCCAAAGTTTGTGTGTGTTGTGCAGTTTGTGTTCCTCGACGCCAGTAGCCCCCCCCTGATTCAGGAGCGAAAGAAGGACGTACACGCGGTTACATAAATCCGCATTGGTTTCGAAAGTACGCGTTGCGCAAATATTCGTATCACCAGGCTGGTCTCGCGGATTGGGGGGCCATGTTCCTGTGCGTGGTTGGGCGCGTACGTCTTTTGTGGGCCCCCCCTGATGTCTGAGCAGTTTTTTTCGACGTCAGTAGCTCCCCTTTTTAGAAACACCCCCGCTTCCTAGAAGGCGCGGGCCTTGCCTGTAGATGTAAGGCCCACGCCTTCTAAGAAGCAGCCTCCTTCTAAGAAGTCTTTCCCCCTCCCCCTACCCCCTTGCGCGCGCCGCCAATCGTAGCCCCCCCGTGATTCGGTCGCGCGCAGAGGGGGGTAGGGAGAGGGGGGCTGGCTTCTTCGGCCGCTTCTGAGAAGGCGCTCGCCCTGCATCTGTAGACAAGGACCGCGCTTTCTAAGCAGCAGGGGCGCTTATCAGAAGCCTCCCCCCGTCCCCCTCCCCCCTTTGTGCGCGCCCCCCAGATGTCCTCCTCCTCCTCCTCCTCCTCCTCCTCCTCCTCCTCCTCCTCCGCCTCCTCCTGTCTTCGGCCCTCTCTGAAGGCCCCATGGTGGCCTCCGCGGCGACCTCCCGGAGGCATCTCGGGGCCTCGGGGTGCCTCTCCGGGGACCTCCAGGGGCCCTGGGACCTGGGAGCACACTGGAGGCGCAGGGGGAAGGAGGAGGAGGAGGAGGAGGAGGAGGACGAGGAGGAGGAGGAGGAGGAGGAGGAGGAGGAGGAGGAGGAGGAGGAGGAGGAGGGGGAGGAGGAGGAGGAGGAGGAGGAGGAGGAGGAGGAGGAGGAGGAGGAGGAGGAGGAGGAGGAGGAGGAGGAGGAGGGAGGAGGAGGAGGGGGAGGAGGAGGAGGAGGAGGAGGAGGAGGAGGAGGAGGAGGAGGAGGAGGAGGAGGAGGAGGAGGAGGGGGAGGACGAGGTCTAAGAGGTCATGATCCCATCTCTCCTTTTCCTCTCCTCTCACGTCCGTTCGCTTGTTTTAACCTAACAGCGAAGACTGATAGGCTTCTAGTGGGCTCAAAAGAGAGCATCTTGACTCCCCAGGGGGGTCTGGGCGGGTGCCAGGACAAGCCGGGGAACCCGGGTGCTCCCCAGAACATTATCCCAGGCTACATTTTGATTGCCCAGAGCCAACAAAACACCATTACCAGGCTACATTTTGAATGACCGGAGCCAACTGTAGGCCACTTCGTGTTCTTCGTGTTCCCAGAACACCATTCCCGGGCCACATTTTGAATGCCCGGAGCCAACTGTAGGCCGCTTCGTGTTCTTCGCGTTCCAGAACACAATTCCCAGGCCACATTTTGAATGCCCGGGGCCAATGGTAGGCCACTTCGTGTTCTTCGTTTTCCCAAAACACCATTCCCAGGCCACATTTTGAATGCCCGGAGCCAACTGTAGGCCATTTCGTGTTCTTCGTGTTCCCAGACCACCATTCCCAGGCCATATTTTGAATGCCCGGAGCCAACTGTTGGCCATTTCGTGATCTTCGTGTTCCCAGAACGCCAATCCTGTACCTGTGCCATATTTTGAATGCCCGAGCTGAGGCAGGCTGAGGCCGAGGCAGGCTGAGGCCGAGGCAGGCTGAGGCCGAGGGAAGCTGAGGCTGAGGCTGAGGCACGCCGAGGCAGGCTGAGGCTGAGGCTGAGGCAGGCTGAGGCAGGCTGAGGCTGAGGCTGAAGCTGAGGCAGGCTGAGGCTGAGGCTGAGGCTGTGGCTGAGGCTGAGGCAAGCTGCGGCTGAGGCAGGCTGAGACTGAGGCTGATGCAGGCTGAGGCTGAGGCTGAGGCAGGTTGAGGCTGAGGCAGGCTGAGGCTGAGGCTGAGGCCGAGGCATGCTGAGGCTGAGGCCAAGGCAAGCCGAGGCAGGCTGAGGCTGAGGCTGAGGCTGATGCTGAGGCAGGCTGAGGCTGAGACAGGCTGAGGCTGAGGCTGAGGCAGGCTGAGGCTGAGGCAGGCTGAGGCTGAGGCCGAGGCAGGCTCAGGCCGAGACAGGCTGAGGCTGAGAGGCTGAGGCTGAGGCTGAGGCAGGCCGAAGCTGAGACAAGGTGAGGCTGAATGGGGGGGGGAAGGGGGGGGGAGGAGGGGAGGCTGAGGCAGGCTGAGGCCGAGGCAGGCTGAGGCCGAGGCAGGCTGAGGCTGAGGCTGAGGCAAGCCGAGGCAGGCTGAGGCTGAGGCTGAGGCTGAGGCAGGCTGAGGCTGAGGCAGGCTGAGGCTGAGGCTGACGCAGGCTGAGGCCGAGGCAGGCTGAGGCTGAGGCTGAGGCAGGCTGAGGCTGAGGCCGAGGCAGGCTGAGGCTGAGGCTGGGGCAAGCCGAGGCAGGCTGAGGCTGAGGCTGAAACTGACGCAGGCTGAGGCATTCGTAGGAATCCTTAGGAATCCCTAGGCATCCTTAGGAATCCGTAGGCATAGTTAAGCATCTTCAGGAATCCTTAGGAATCCTTGGGACTCCTTTGGAATACTTAGGAATCCCTAGGAATCCCGAGGAATCAGGATTCCTAAGGATTCCTAAGGATCCCTAT